TCCATGCATCCAACAATTATAAGTTCTAAAATACCTACACTTTCAGCATTCTATCTGATTACCCTATTCCCTCTAATTGGTAAATCTTGGACTTGTTTGATTGTGATAATAACTAGATTGCTATTCTTAATCCAGGAAGGTATGGTCAACCAGAAGAAGTAGCTGGACTGGTTGAATTCTTAGCCCTCAATCCGGCTGCCGGTTACATCACTGGACAGGTTTCGAAAGCATCACTTTCTCCTTTTGATTTCATTTGTTTCATAATGCACTTTGTCCAAAAAACGTTAGTTTTAAAAATGAGTGATTGCCCTTCTCTGATCCTTACTGTCCAACCTGAGAACAGATAGCTTTTTACGAACTGGATGTCAATAAATCCGTGAGTCTAGAAATTCGTTTCGGTCAATTGAACCAGACAATTTCAGTATAGAAAAAGTAAGAATGGATTAAAAAAAAACTTTTCAAATTGTCTAGACATTATTTTATTTTATTTCTTTATAGTCAACAGTACCCCTATTTAAATTATTAACATTGGTAAGGTGATAGAGAAGAAAATGGTTCTGGAAGCGTATTAAAGCTAATAATATTTTGTTATGCTCAATGGCCTAATTTTTAATATATTCGATGAGTTGATTACACGAGAATTTGAAGAATTTGATAGAGTAGCGTGGATCGCATGGATGGAGCAGAAAGCATGTGGTACATGGGGCAACAATTGAATGGAAGATGTCCTCATTGAATTAATGCTTGTTTGGTAGTGTTTATGAGTTGTCTCATTCGAAACGTGTATTATTACTTGTTTGATTTAGATTAAAATATATTTTTAATAGATTTCGATAAAAGTTGATGTAACGTGTGGTTGAAAAGTTATGAATCTCATGAATTGTCTGATTATGATTAATTATCAACTTGACTTAAATTTTAATTTTAAGCTAAACCGGGTAGGGGAATGATAAATGGATAATAAATCGTGAGTCATATGAGATGTATGGATAAAAAGAAGGATTGATCAACTTAAAGGTTTGTTTAATAAAAGTTTTGACATAAAAATGTACTTCAAGAACTTTATTCGCATTCTCTCCTTGCATGTATAATTTTTTGTTGGGTTTCGATACCTAATAAATTCGGACGGTGATTCAAACAGATGTCGAATAATTTATCGACACCATGACTTGGCTCGACTCTGAAAAACTGAAATGACCAACACTAGGCCCAAGTAGTAGTTATTGGGTTGGGTTATTAACATGTGCGTGCTTTGTGTTTTAAGAGAGCAATTGTGATTGTTTCCCTTCTTCTTCTTTGTGCTTTTTGCCTCTCGTTTTCTATTTGCCTTCGTGGCTTTGCAAACACCATCATACTTGTATTCCTTGTAGGTACATTAGAAGTGACAGAAATAGTTGTCGGTTGGAGTCAATTGATTGATTGTGGTTTGATATTGGTCAGTTTAAATTGAGCCCGAAATCCACCGATTGAAGATCAATTCCGCTCGTATGGTATCGAGCGTTGGTAGGCGAGAAATCTGTGTTTTTTGGGTGAAAATCGAGCTGAAAATTGGCAGAAAACGGAGCTGAAATAGATCCCAAAAGCTGTCCAGATCAAAATCAATATGACCAGATCTATTTTCTTGATTTCTGGACAAATCACTTACATGTTAGAAGAACGGAGACCACCAGCATGTTTAGCAGACGGAGGCGTGCATGGGTAGGTGGCGCGTGACTGCCAACGACGGCTCGTGGCAGTGAGCACATGGAACTTGGCGACCGCGCATGTCGGCGCACGAGGGCTTCTAAGTACATAGTTGCTTATAAGCATCTTGGAAGGATGGTGCAAAGTTCACACGTCTCTTCGCATCCACTTTACTTATTATTTACATTATTAGTACCTCTTTAGTAATTGTACACTATGGCTAGTAATTTAACACATACTAGTTCCACGTTTTACAGTTTAATACCAAAACATAATAATGTACCGTTACTTTTTAAAAAAATTCAGATGAAAATCAAAATAAGTTACATCAATTTTTTCCTGTTTTGAATTAGAAAATTGTTACCAAAAAAATTATATTCCCTCAACCCCATTTATATAGGCTGGCTTCGTTTTCCACATGGATTAAAAAATTTTATTTAATATTATTCAAAAAAAAAATTTGCCAAAAACTTTCTTAATTTAACCTTATTTAATTATCAACAACTAGCAGTAAATTATTGGTGGATGTAGGAAAGAAATTGAATGATTTAATTTTCAAGAAGTATGTATCTTTATATTTGTACAATTTCAAGATTAAGTAGAAATAATTAGTTATTACTGAGTAAATTAAATAAGAGTATATTAGTAAACGAATAAAACAAAACATTCTCATTAAAAAAAATGGCTATGAGACAAGAAAATAGAAAAAATCGACCTATATACATAGGACGAAGGGAGTACACTGAGAGGAACTTTGAATTAATACAAACAAGACAAATTCATGTAAAATAAGCAGCCTCCATTGTTGAAGATTGGATGATTGGACAAAGGGTCAAGTGGGAGTTTGAATAAGAAAATTGGAAAAATCATGACTCATTGAAAGGACTAACCCATGTTTAATCCCATTATTTTCAAAACATGTCTTTTTCTCGTATTTTCAATCATATATTTTTAAATAAAATAATATTATAAGTAAATTCAAAAAATTTTATTATTTTTAATCGCACGTTCTTCATCAATTTACTATTTCAAAATGCATTCTTAATTAAAAAGGGGCTCTAACAAGAGCTCATGTCTGTGTCACGTTTTTCCTCAAATTTATTTTTAATCACATATTCTCTCAATAACTCAATAAAATTTTTATATGTAAACCTAAAAAAATTTTCTATTTTTTAATCACATATTCTCCAAGAAATCACTATTACAAAATAGAGGTCAAACATACCTAAGCCTCAGAAAAAGACTACGAGAAATAGTGAAATGAGTAATAGCGGGTCCAAAAAAATGTGTGAATAATAAATAAGTATGATTGTATAATTGAAATTAATGTTTAACTTTTGTTGAATTTCTAATTCATTATAAATTGGTAGTCAAATAGAGACTAATTAATTGAAGACGAATTCCATAGCAAAATGGAAAGATTATAGAAGAAACGTACACGATAAAATTTATCATCTGTCTTATTCTATTTATAACTTCGTTTGAAATTTGTAATAGATTTCAAGTTTGACTGAAAGAAAAATGTTGCAAGCACGACAATTTAGAGCACGTTTGATGTAAATTTTTTGAAATAGATTTTGTGAAAAATAAATTTTTTAAAAATCTATAATTAAATAGTAGGAAAAAAAATTATAAATTCACATACAAATTATTTTATTAAGAAAATATGTAATTTAAAATGAGTTTGTAGAAAAGTAAATTTTAAAGAACGTGTTTGATTTTATACTTCCTAACATTATTCAAGAGTCAAATATGAAATAGGACACGTTGAGAAGAAAAATGTTAAAGAGGGAGAAAGAATTTAGAAATTTTTCTCTTCAACTAAAATTTCCTTAATACATTTTTATTTTTTTACTGAAATAAGGCTCGGTGTCCTCCTTGAGGTGCAAGGTGTTTCAGTTGATCCGATTAACAAACGTTACTTGCAAAATGAGGATGGGGCTTCCTCCCCCGCTACACCTTCGACGTGAGAATTAATAGGTGGTTTAGGAACGTAGGAAGAGAAAATAGAACAGATATTCAAATAGCCAGAGTTTCAAAATCAATATCTGTCTTACCTTAGGATTATTTATAGGTGTTTGAAGCCATATAACTGACGGCGCGATTATTGCAACACGTGTCCCACGTAGCGCCTCCCACTACCCACGTCTTGAGTGGAGGATCTCTACCTATCCAGCGGTTAGTTGTATCCATCATAACCACTGACCCATTCCCATCCAACTCAATGACATTTTAATGGTTAAGTGTTGCATTGATCCCGTAGCGGTAGGCGACCCAACTTGAACGTAGAAGGTCTCATAGCAGTAGGCAACCCAACATGAATGTAGAGGGCTTCATAGCAGGCGACCCAACATGAACATAGAAAGCCTAGTAATGGCAGGCGACCCAACATGAACGTAGAGGGTCTCATAGAGGTAGACAATTCAGTATGGAGTGCTCTACATAGAGTGTAGATTGAATAGCCTTCTTCTTATTGACCATGGTAGATAATTGTTGTTGCATCTAATATCACTCACCTTTTTTTAGTTTTTTTTTTATCCGATTTGTAGTTGACATACAACGAATAACTTCTTGCAACGTGGTGGCGATGTCGTATCCCGGCCATGGCCATATCAACCCGATGATGAATCTCTGCAAACTGGTGGTCGAAAATAGCAATAGTATTTTAATAACTGTCGTACTGACCGAGAGTGGCCAATGCTGACTTTAACTACTTGAAGTGATTGAACATTCAACCTACAAACTCGGTCTTGTTTATTTCATTAGGTAGCTACCATTCTCTTTCAAACTCCCAAATGGATGAAATTTTAGCTGGATTTTGCATTAGTGGAACAAGTTTCTTGTGGGTGGCGCACGGTGAAACACCTAAGTTAGAAGACTGTCGTGGAGGAAAAGGATTGGTGGTGCCTTGGTGTGATCAATTGAGTGTACTATGCCATCCATCTATTGGGAGTTTCTTGTCACAATGCGGTTAGAATTCTACTAATGAAGCTATTCTAGCAAGTGTTCCCTTGCTTACGTTCCCTATATTGACGGATCAAGTTCCAAATGCTAAGATGATTGTCGAAGATTGGCAAATTGGATGGAAGGTGAAGAGAGAATTCGAGAAAAAAAACTTGGCAAAACGAGATGAAATTGCACTTCTTGTGCAGAGATTTATTAACTCAGAGAGTCGAGAGAGGAAACAACTTATAGAAAAGGCTAGAGAAATTGAACAAGTTTGTGAAAAAGAAGTTGCAGATTGAGGTGGTGGATCATTCCTAGACAACCTTGATGCCTTTACTAAATCAATTATACAATACCATAATAAAAATCATGATGCTAACTTTCAATGGTGAAGAATTAAGCTCCCGTTTGACGCTCATTTTTTTTTTCATTTTAACCACACATTATATTAATAAAATAATATTACACATAAACCCAAAAATTATATTTACTTTTTAACCGCACAATCTTCCACCAATCACTATTTCAAAAATTATTTTTCAAATAAAATGAGTGTCAAACAAGGGCTAAGTTTTCAGACTTGATACTCAAGTTAGACGTGGATTGTATTGTGCAAATTTCTGTACAATAATTTGAAATGTGTGCAGCTAAATATCCATTGAAGCTTTGTTATATTAGCCATTGTAAGTCAAAGTCAACAATTCATTTCAACCACATATTTTATGTGTCCCACAAATTTTCAACAGTACATTTCATCAACTTCTATCAAAATCTACTAAAAATCTGATTTTAATCCTCACCAAACTGCGGCTTAATCAAAACATAATATGTTTGATAATTCAAGAATTTGTTGAATTTTCAATAAGATATATTCATTAACAATGAGTTAATTAGAGAAAATGTGTATTTTGGGAATTTGCATGCTCTTTGAACTTAGTCAAGAACAGTTTCAAGTAGGCATTTTTATGTGAGCAGAGGCCTCCTAAGGAGAACTTCAACGAAAAGGCTAATTGCTCCAAGAGGAGTGCTATATTGTGGAATGAACTGAATTGAGTAGTAAGAAAAAATTCACCAACTCAACTTTTAAATTTGTTGAGAATTTATTGATTTTTTTTTTTTCAAAATCACTATAGATGTCATATTTTATTAAAACCCAAAAGTAAAACACAATATAAATTTAGAAAGAGATCGACTTGACTTCCAACAAGTGCCTAAAGGTGCGAGTAAAAGAAACTCATCACTTCAAGAGACATGGAGTACACAGGGAAAGATAAAAAACCTACACTTCATACGCCTTGACCCCTAGTCATACTCCTTGTTATCCTACGGGGAACGTAGTATATTCTCTTTGCGTGTGTGACACTTTAGGCTTGTTACATTAAGAAGATCTAGTAAACTTAGAGCTCATTTGATAGAATTTGTTAAAACAATATCAAATTTTTAACTAGTCAAACTTCAAATTTTAACCATATATTTCATGAGATTCACAATTTTTCTCTTCAACAACACAATTCATGAACTTTTTCAAGTTCAGTGACCAATTAGACAATTTATCAATCTCTATGCATTTTTTTTTTCATTATTAGATATTAGAATGGTCAGCAGACAAACTTGTCGATTGCCCCATAATATAAGACTATTATTTTTTCTAAATTCGATGATTATAGATAAAATAAATTTGTGGGGTTAGAGTACATAAAAAAGGAAAGAAATAGATTAAAAGATATATAAAGATTGGTCAATTACGTGATTGATTACTAAATTTTGTGTATGGCTTTTAGGGGGTCATTGAACTTTAAAAAATGGAACCCCATCTCGTGATGTAGAGGACGGGATTATATTTTGTAACGTGAAATTTTTTGAAGTTCTCAATGATAAATGAAATTATATTTTATCAAATTCTGTGATTAACGAGAAAACATTTAGAACAAAAGTTTCATCCATATGTCACCTAGAATGATTTATAAAGAGAAATAATAGGAGATCACGATCTAAATTAATGATTGATTTTGAATGAATTTATTAATTTGTATCCAAACGGCGGCAAAATACTTTAAATTTTTGGTAGAATAATTTAGGAAGGCGTTCTACTCGTGAGCTGTTTGTTAACTTTGGTCGTGCCCCTTAGTAGATATCTTCTAATTGCTGTTAATTAATCTTCCAAAACATCACTAGTCAATTCCACACTCCAGTAATTTACCATACCATTAGCTTTGCTACAATCTCTTGATCATTTGTAAATTAGTTACATTTGCAAGAAATGGATGAGGTCTGCTTAATTCATGCATCAATATCCTTCAGAACAATCTATTTGCGATTTTCTGTCGTTATGTTTTCAGTAAATGGAAACGATATTGTTGATTGCATTCCTGGGCTCTCTCCAACTCGTGGAGTGGATCTTCCCACAGTCATGAGGTTGGAAGAAAACTACCAACGCTTTCTAAAAGCGCCGTTGCAGGCAATTCATAAAGCACGATATCTTCTCTTAGCTTCTGTTTATGAGCTTGAAGCCGAAGTCATTGATGCTCTGAATGCAAAAGCTTCATGTTCAATCTATACAATTGGCCCTACGACACATTTCAAAGTTGAAGACAGTAATGGTGATCTTAACTACTTGAAGTGGTTAAACCTTCAGCTTCCAAACTCGGTTTTGTTTGTTTCATTTGGCAGCTATCTCTCTATTTCGAGCTCCCAAATGGATGAAATTGCAGCTGGATTGTGCAAAAGTGGAACACGTTTCTTGTGGGTGGCACGAGGTGAGACATTGAGGTTAAAAGAGATTTGTGGGGGAAAAGGGTTGGTGGTGCCTTGGTGTGATCAGTTAAGTGTGCTATGTCATCCTTCTATTGGGGGTTTTTTGTCGCACTGTGGTTGGAATTCCACCAAAGAAGCTATTTTAGCAGGAGTTCCTATGCTTGTGTTCCCCATAATGATGGATCAGGTTACCAATGCTAAGATGATTGTTGAAGATTGGCAAATTGGATGGAGGGTGAAGAGAGAATTCGACAAGGACAACTTGGCAAAACGAGATGAAATTGCAGAACTTGTGCAGAAATTTATGGACTTAGAGAGTAGAGAGAGGAAACAACTTACAAAAAAGGCTATAGAAATCCAACAAGCTTGTGAAAGAGAATTTGCAGAAGGTGGGCCATTCCAAACTTACCTAGATGGTTTTATTCGATCGATTTTGCAATACCATCATCATTGATCAATTCAACGGGGTATTCAAAATAACTCAGATATTTTACCTGTTCTATTAAGGCCTTTCTCCACATTTATGTACGCTATTTGACGTTTTCAAGGTGTTTTTTTGGTATTTAATTGTACGTAGTGGCGAATTTTCTCTATATAAACCTTGTGTGTTCTTCCGTGTCTATTTCCTTGTTGCGATTTTATTTCTCTAGGTGATATAAAATTAAGATTTCTTAAATTTGGTTTAAACACAATACAAATAATTGAAATTTGATAATCTTCTGTTTTGTGTTTTCTTTTATATTTGATTCACCTAGAATGAATTTGAAATTGGTTTAAATAATGTATGCACTAATATAAAAGGTTTGGTATATTTGGCAAATGCACATAAAAACTAAAAATTTTGAAGAGGCATTAATTTACTAATGTCATAAATAATGATTATTAAAATGGTGATGGTACCGCCATAGGAGACGGCAGCGACAAGAAGGCGGGAGGGTGGAACTGGGATGCACTGATTTTGGGGAGAATGGAAAGTGATGAACTTAGTGTTTGGTAGTCGATGGTACGTGGAATTAGGGGTGACAATTGGGCCGAATGGCTCATCGGCTTGTTAGGGCTCGATCCATGGGTTGCTCGGGCTCGTCTCCGAGTTCAAGCTGAGCCCAAAAAAATTTTGAGCGATCCGAGAGGGCTCAACTCGTCGCTCGAACGAGCGGTTGGCTCGTCAAAAAAATGTGACTAAACAGGAAGATTTACATTTCAAAAGAAAATATATATGTAAATATAAAAGTTATTCCATTCCAATTCCTACAAAAGGCTTAGGACGCGAACTTGTCTGATGAGGGGACTTCGTAAACTATCTAACTTTGAAGCTATTACACCCAAAAGGGTGAAACCACAGAAGCAGGTAACCCTGACTTCAAGACATATGGTGAAGAGCACCGGTCAAGCTCNTTAAACTTTCGTGTTTGATGGAGAAGAAGCAAACAAAGTTACGCTCGTTTTTTGTCTTGTTTTCTGTCACAGCTTCAGTCGGGTTCTTGTCGATAGCCAAAGGTCAATGTCAAATTCAGTGCCCCTAAGAAGAATAATCCATCAATTCATGTTCCTCTTTTTTCTTCATTTGTTGTCGTCTCCAGACATGGGATAAACTATAGGAAAACTATAGGAATGGATGGTTTTTTTCCACTTGAAAATCCCTTTCCACATAAATTTTCTGACCTTGGTTTTTGTTTTTGGCATTCTTATTTTGCAAAATTACACTCCATAGAAAGCGGGCGTTTGGGCACCATTTTTTGCTCATTATTAGAAGAAATATAACCGTTGCAAAATAAAAATTGTGAGATAAAAGTAAAAAAAAGGGCTAAGTGAAGCCCATAAACGGTAACATTTTTTCGAGAAATGAGGTGAAAATGGCAAACAAATAGACTCTACATGTATGAAACTACACTATGCAAGAGAAAATCTTCTTTTTATTTTTTGTTCAACAGTTAAAAGAATGATGAGAGGGAGGCAACCCATGTTCAAGAGCTTGAACAATGAAGTGTATGGCTTGACTTTAGATTTCAATTTGTGTCATGGATAGTTAACAATGGATTTCGCCAACAACAAACTCCTTGGTAGTGATAGTAGCTTCAAAGGAATTGGTAGTATGTCTTGAATAGGATAGCATTCAAAATGTATGAACTCATCCCATGTTCAAGAGCTTGAACAATGAAGTGTATGGCTTGACTTTAGATTTCAATTTGTGTCATGGATAGTTAACAATGGATTTCGCCAACAACAAACTCCTCCTAGGCAATAGGTCATGGGACGAGTCGAGCTCGCACCATGAGTACGAGCGCTCGAACAAGCTGAGCTTGTGAGCCCATGGGTCAAGCCGGTTCGTCTCGATCTATTGACATCCCTACATGGAATTTATATGGAGGGGTAATTTCGTCAAATGAACATGAAATTCAAGGGCATTACAGGAAATGTAAATGAATTGGGAGAAATGATCATGTCTAAAACTTACGAAGGTTGGATCCAAAGATAAATTCTTTATTTTTTATTTGAATTTTCAAAGATTATACTTTTGCACAGCATCTGATTTTCTGCTCTTCGACAAATTAATAAATTGACCAATGAATATTTAAATTCTAAATAATCTCAACATTTAGCCCCCGTTTGGTCCGGATTAAAATCAGATTTTAATTCAAATCAAAGTCAAACAATCAATATTAACCACATCTTTCACCGGTCCCACAACTTTTCAACCACACATTTCAAAAATTTCTATCACGATTTACTAAAAATCTAATTTTAATCTCCATCAAACACCCTTGGGGACAAAAGGGTAATTTTACACTGCATTGTCTAATCAATAAAGCCCCTTTCTTCTCCGGTTTCGTTCTTCAATAATCTGTTTACTTTTCTTACTTTGGTGACAATAGTTTTCAGTTAAACATGCAACCAGAATCTTCCTGCCACGTGGTGGCCATGCCGTATCCTGGCCACGGCCACATCAATCCGATGATGAACCTCTGCAAACTAGTGGCTGGAAAGAGCAACAGTATTCTAATTACCATCGTACTGACTGAGGAGTGGCTCGGCTTAATCGGCTCCACAACCAAGCCGGATAACATCCGCTTCGCCACGATTCCAAACGTCATACCGTCGGAGCATGTTAGAGGATCCGACCCGAAGGGATTCGTCATGGCTGTGTGGAACAAAATGGAAGAGCCATTCGAGAGGCTCTTGGACGAGCTTCAGCTTGCTCCAACTCTGATTATTGCCGACGTCTCCGTTCCATGGGCGGCCGATGTGGCAACTCGAAGGAATATTCCTTTGGCTGCACTCTGGCCGATGTCGGCGTTGTTGTTTTCGGTGATTTACCATTTTGACCTTATCGTCGAACACGGCCACTTCCCGGTCAATTTATCTGGTAAGGATGATATGTATGCCTGCATGTGGTTTGGCTGTTTATTTATTTCATTTTCTTACAAAAAAAAATGTTTTATTGAGAAATTTTGTCAACAAGGTTGAGAACAAAAAACTATCTACGCGGTCTAGGTATAATCGATTTGTGGAACTTGTCGTTATGCTTTTCAGTGAACGGAGATGATATCATCGACTACATTCCAGGCCTCTCTCCTATTCGCGCAAGGGATCTTCCCACGATAGTAAGGTTCAAGGAAGAGTCCGAATACTACTTGAAATTCCTTTTACGAGTTTTTGATAAAGCAAAATGTGTCGTGTTCACTTCTATTTATGAGATTGAATCTAAAGCCATTGAAGCTATGAAGGCAAAAGCTTCATTTTCAATCTATACGATTGGCCCCGCCACAACATACTTCAAAGTTAAAGACTCACACTCGAGTACCATTAGTAGCAATGGTGATCTTAATTACATGACATGGTTGAATCTTCAGCCTCCAAATTCGGTTTTGTACATTTCAATGGGGAGCTACCTCTCCATTTCGACGTCTCAAATGGAAGAAATTGAGGCTGGATTGCGTGGAAGTGGGGTGCGTTTCTTGTGGGTGGCACGAGGTGCAACAATGTTGCGATTACAAGAGATTTGTGGAGAAAAAGGGTTGGTGGTGCCTTGGTGTAATCAATTGAGTGTGCTATGTCATCCTTCCGTTGGAGGATTTTTGTCACACTGTGGTTGGAATTCGACTAAAGAAGCTATTCTAGCCGGTGTACCCATGCTTACTTTCCCTATCATGAACGATCAAGTTCCCAATGCTAAGATGATTGTTGAAGACTGGAAATTTGGATGGAGGGTAAAGAGAGAATTCGAGGAGGAAAACTTGACGACGAGAGAAGAAATTAAACAACTTGTGCAGAGGTTTATGAGCTTAGAGAGTCGAGAGAGGAAACAACTCGAAGAAAAGGCTAAAGAAATTCAAAAAGTTTGCGAGAGAGAATTTGCAGATGGCGGATCATTCCAAAACAACATAGATAGTTTTACAAAGTCGATTGTGCAACACTATCCTCATTGATCTATCTGCGCCTAATTGTTGTCATGTTACATTATGTTAATCTCTCTTGTCATAATTATAATGAAAATGAAAAGTACATTTCTCTTCTTTTCAACTCAAGCTTTTAAATGGAGCGGTTCAACAACCTAATAGAGACACAGTGTACGAGTTAGAGTCTTCCTGCCACCAATTTATATATATTATCCACTTCCCATGTTACTAGCTTTCTAGGGTAAAAACTTGACAGGTTTGAGACGATAATTAAGTTAATTTGTAAATGTTCTACCTATTCGGCTATTCTCATAAAGGCATCAAACTTTTGCTTTCTGCATATGGCCCATTCCAAGGCAATTTCATTCCTTAATTAGGAGAATCCACCTATTGGATCATATACAGCAAATCTCATAAACGTTAATCAATAGCTAGAGAAAATGAAAAATTCATTTACATAATAATTAAAACATAACATAGAAATTGAGAAAGTTTCCAATCTTTGCCAAACATGCAAAAATTATAAATTTTCACTGTTTACCCTCGACTCTGAAGTTCAGAGAGCATGCGAATCTAAAAACGAGTATAGTTTCTTAGAATCGATTCTTTTAAGTGAACCTAGTCAACATCGATTCATTGAATAAAAATTTGTAAAGATTAAAATACGTAGAATAAAACTGCAACCCACATTTAACCTGTATCGAGCCCCAACACTCGCAAATTTTCCACACAATGCATCAGAATCCAGTAGTGGGATCTCAATGCTGATGGTATTGCAAAATCGATTTAGTGAAACCATCTAGGTTATCTTGAAAAGATCCACCATCTGCAAATTCTGTGTCACAAACTTGTTGAATTTCTCTAACCTTTTTCTCAAGTTGTTTCCTCTCCCGAGTCTCCAAGTTCATAAACCTCTGCACAAGTTGTGCAATTTCATCTCTATTTATCATATTTTCTTCCTCGAATATTGTTTTCACCTTCCATCCAATTTGCCAATCTTCGACAATCATCTTAGCATTCGGCACTTGATCCAGCAATATAGGGAAAGTAAGAATAGGAACACCCGATAGAACAGCTTCTTTTATAGAATTCCACCCGCAGTGTGACAAGAAACCCCCAATAGAAGGATGGCATAGTACACTCAACTGATCACACCAAGGCACAACCAACCCATTTTCTCGACAAAAATCTTGTGTTCTCGATGTTTCACCTTGTGCTACCCATAAAAAACGAATTCCACCTCCGTACAATCCAGCTATAATTTCGTCCATTTGGGAGCTTGAAATTGACAAGTAGCTACCAAGAGCGATATACAGGACAGAAGTTGGAGTTTGATTGTCCAACCATCTCAAGTAGTCAAAATCATTAATACTTCGTACACTCTTCTTCACTTTGAAATATGATGTAGCAGGGCCAAGAGTAAAGATTGGAGGCGAGATTATCGCCTTTAGGGTTTCAATTACTTGAGTTTCGAGTTTGTAAATAGAAGACATTATAAGGTATTGTGCCTTTAATGCTTGGGTGATGAGTTTAAGAAATGAGGGGACTTTTTCCGGGGACCTCATCGCCAACGGAAGGTCTGCTACTTGTATAGGAGAAAGCCCGGGAATGTAGTCGATAAGATCCTTTCCATTTACTATAAACACAACGAAAAAGCAAAATATATTCAACGTGATCATCAATGGTGGAGCAAGGACTCAAATTCAGTGGAGATATCTTAATATAAAAATTTAAAAATTCATATAAAAAATGAATTTCTCAAATCTGTTAATGATAGATAGCATTATTATTCTAAAAGAAAAGCCAATAAAATAGTAAAAAACGTGTACAAGCTTGTACCTGGTAAATTGATGGGGAAGTGGCCGTGTTGGATGATTAGGTCAAAATGGTGAAGTACCGAAAATACCAACGCCGACATCGGCCAGAGTGAAGCCAACGGAATATTCCTTCTAGCTGCCACATCAGCCGCCCATGGAAGAAAAGCGTCGGCAATAATCAGAGCCGGAGAAAACTGAAGCTTATCCAAGAGTTGTTCGATTGGCTCTTCCATTTTGTCCCACACAGCCAAGGCGAACCCCCGCGGGTCGGATCCCCGGACTTTCTCCGAAGGCACGACGTTCGGAATGGTGACGAAGAGAATGTTAGCCGACTTATTATCGGAGCCGATGAAACCGAGCCACTCCTCTGTCAGTACGAAGGTAATTAGAATATTACTGCTCTTTCCGGACACCAGCTCACAGAGGTTCATCATCGGATTGATGTGGCCGCGTCCGGGATACGGCACGGCCACCACGTGGCAGGTATCTACGGTACCCATTACCCAACTAAAAATTATGATAAACTTCAATAGATTACTTGAAAACCAAACCAGAGAAGACGGAGGCTCACAAATTAAGATGATTTGTTAATTAAACAACTCAGTGGGAAATTAATGACAGAACATTTCCCCAGCACCATCAAGTTTAGCATACGATTGCCTTCCAGTAAAAAGGGTTATTTTCGGGGAAATTTTGAAATGGTGATTTTTTTTTTTAAATGAGTGATTAAAAAATAAAAAATATTGAATCTACATTAAAAAAAAAAAAAATTTTATTGTGTGAATTTAAAATTGAAAATGGGTTCGACAAAAATAGAATTTGATTTAATGGAAGGGAAACGAAATATCAAATTCATTTTATTATGTTTGCATGTACAATCGATACTTTGACTTGATCAAGTCAGAGTGGCACGTTTATTTCAATTACACATTTATTTAGTAGGATTCAATATTATTTATTTTTTAAAAAAATTACTTATAATTTATTCAAACTCTCCTTTTTGAACCCTGTTTTCCTACCTAGAAACTACGGCCTTGTTCTCTTTATTATTTTCAGGCCGTTTTCTATTTTCAGTTTTTCAAAATAATGAAAACGCGTTCTCTTTCCTATTTTCGAAAACTCGTTTTGGAAAATGAAAAAAAATGTTTGTACTAAAAACACAAAATGGCCAAAACCACGTTTTGGAACGTTTTGGAAATTTTGAGGTGAAAACGCGGTATATTTGGAAAACACGGGAAACGGTCTCGCCTTATCTCTCTCTCTCTCCCCCCTATTCCATTTCCATTCCATTTCCCATCTTACAAACCCACGATCCAAAGCTACCACTGCCATTTTTGGAAGTGCCGAGGAAGAAGAGGATGCTGTTGACGAGTGATTGGAGGTGCTTAAATCTTTCCCACTATCCACGCTCAAACCATTTCAGACTATTCCATCTTTCGTCAGAGGAATCGTTACGAGAGCGGTCGAGGGATTTGTACAGCGGCCAAACGAGCTTACGAATCGAATGGATTGATGGGCAGTTCGAATTTATCTGTGAAACGCTGGGATTCTCTGGAATTGAGGATTGATGGGCAGTTCGAATTTTACGAATCCAGTCTCGAGGTAAATTTTACGAATCAAGTTTCAAATCCAGTTTCAAATTATTATTTTTTGAATTATTATGCGGGTTTACATGATTATGCATTTGTATCTTGAATTGATGAGGAATGAGCTAAAGATTGCTTTTTTAGATTCACTGGGTGCTTGTTAAATTAAGATTTGATTTGATTTGATAAATTTCTTGTTGCGAATGGGTTTTCTGTCTTTGGAAACAATATATTTAAGAAGAAATTGGGAACTTTTGGGTTGCATTTTTCCTTATCTGATTTGGATTAGGAATGAAATCAATGTTTTTGTGAAATTTATTTAAGAAATTTATTTATATAACAAAGTTATGCAAGTAGACGGTATGCTCAGTTTGAATATTTAAGTAAAGGTAAAGTCTAGAGGATAATTATTTTTGGCAATCTGCATTAGACTCTTAATGTTAGAATTGCAATTTTCATGTTTAAATTGGTTTTTTTTTTTTTTTGGAACTCTCAATTCAAAGGCCCGGATTCCACATCCCTAAAAATTCAACTGAAATCTGATCTTCTTTTGAAAGATGGAAAAGGTCTGATGAATACTATAGCTAGACAAACGGAAATATCCGTATACTAACTATTGCTTCTTTCTGAATTGGCTTTGCAGTGTTTGTTTTATGTGCAAATAAGCTCATCGCTGGATGCACAATCTATGTTCAAGTAAGCTATCATTAGAACTCTGTATTTCAATCTAGCTGTCAATTTAAGCTTTTGATTCCATACACAGCTTTTAATTTAAGCTTTTCTTTTGTTGAATGAAGTATATGGATAGGATGAAGATGAACACCAAATGACACAAGTGATAATACATAACTATTAGAGATTGAATTTTAGATTTTGAAGTC